CACATACCCTGGGGGTGGGATGGGGGCAGGGTGTACTTTCTGGGGTACCACCAGCGTTCTGTTTTTCATACTGTTTCTTTGTGGGTTATATTCCACAATAGAAAATTAAAAGGGAAAATGTGACAAAATGATTTACTTTATTGCTCTCTGAGCGTATTATAAAAATCTTGTGTTGGACATCAGATCCTTAAGCCAAAAGAAATAGTATTCAGAAAGAATTGTCTTTTAAACTCTCTTAACTTATTTTAAGAGCTCTGTTGGCGCAGCAGTTAAAGCACTCAGCTACAAACTGGCAGACCAGTGGTTTGAACGCACCAGAAAAACAAAGCAGTCTACTTTTCTCAGGACTTACAGCCTTGGAAACCCTGTGAGACCATTCTATTCTGTTCTATGGGGTTGCTATGAGTTGGAAGAGACCGATGGTGATGGGTATTACTTCTTTGATAAACGATTACCGAGAACAGTCTGAATGTCCTTCATCAATGCCTCTTCAACCTTCGGGTGCTTGGCAATGAGAAACAGCATGAAGAAGACCGAGACAGACATGGTGTCCGGCGCCGCGATCAGCATTTCCAGTATGCACTGGTTCACATTCTCTTTTGTCAGGTCACCACGTTTCTGAACAGGCAAGAGGGATAAAAGGTGGAGAGGGGAATTGAAGTTTCCCAGAAGGAAGGGAGGTGACACTCGGGGGCAGATAACCTCAACGAAATGAGAACAAAGGCACTGACTATGAACAGTTTACAGGACCAGCTTCAGATGAAAACCGAGCAGTTTAACCAATTATCATGTAGTTCGTGCCTTTGGGCTCCTTCCCACCCACCCCTTGCTCTCTAATCTCCCTCCCACCCACGATCCTATTTGCGTGTTGTTACATGCACAGTAACTTCCAGCTTAAGGGCCAGTCTTCCAAGAATTTCTGAGGTGCAGGATATTTGAGTTGGGTATTATAGAAGACTAGAGAAAGCGCTTAAAAGCTGAACTATGTCGCAATTATAGAGGGAACCTTCACACACATAGGTGCCCACAGTGTCCTACACATAAATGTTGCATGGGAGTTATGGTTAGGCCAGAACAGTACCTCCGCAAAAATAAGCTGAGTGGCAAAATCCATACTGTCTTCCAGTTTCTCTGCCTTAGAAATCTGATGTCTCTTTTCTTCAATTAGAATTTCTAAGGCATCTTTCAACTCCTTTCTGGAAGGAAAAAAAAAAGTCAAATTATACTCCATTGGTACTCAGCTTAGACATCTAGCAAAGCAGATGCATTTGTTGTTGGTATAACTAAAGTGATCTGCTATAATTAAAATCATTCCAAATCCCACACCCACTGCCAGCTAGTCAATTCTGACTCATGGTGACCGGTAGAACAGGGTCATTGTCCCTGTGGGTTTCCGAGACTGTAATGTTTTATGGGAAAAGAAAGCCTCATCTTTCTCCCATGAAGCAACTGGTGGTTTTGAACTGCTGACTTTGTGGGTAGCAGTTCAACATGTAACCACTATGCCACCAGGACTCCTACTGAAGCCATTAGGGTTCATGACTTAGTAAATTTATGCTTAACTTCATCACACATATATTTTTTCCTAATGACACACTTTTGTTCTTCATGTTCAGGACTTAAAGTTAGATAATATTTCTTGCTGTCAGTAGCAAAATCAAGGCTGTGACCTCAAAAAAGAGCTACTGCATAAGAGTGTCAAGATTCCAGAGACACACCCGATATAGCCTAACAATGACAACAACAGGGCAATAAAACACAAGCAAGAGCAAAACACCACATACTTTATTAGACAGTTCATTATAAATTCTTTCATAACTACGGAAAATTCATATAAGATGAATTATGTTTTAAATTCCTTCAAAAGCAACAGTTAATCCCGCGTTTTCCATTTTTTTCCAAATATGCAAGAAGGGTTTTGATAAAGCCAGCCAACCCTTCTCTTCTCTTCAACTCAAAATATTATCCGTGTCCCAGCTCCAGAGAGGAAGCCCTTAGATGGGACACTTGGCCTCCCGTTGAGAAGTTGCCCCAAGCCACAAGCTTCCTGTACTCTTTGGCCTGATCAGAAGCAGCTTGACTGCTGTAAGAAGGCTTTCATCAACAACTTAGTCAACATTCCCCTTATGACCTCTGGAAAGTAGAAAACCCACTGAAGAAACCAATGAAGGAAAACCCCAAACCCACTGCTGTTGAGTTGATTCCAACTCAAAGCAGCCCTATATAGGGTTTCTGAGCCTATCAAACTTTACGGGAGCAGAAGGCCTCATCTTGCAGTTAGGAGTCCAATATTGACCCAGCAGCACCACCAGTCTCTTAACAATAGCAAAGGCATGATAAAAACAATTAAGAAATCAATTCCATTTACAAACCTTCCAAACTTGAGTTACTTACACAGACTTTTCATATTTTTTGTACAGCCAAGAAATCTTAAAGAAGATGTCTGGTTTGAGAAGAAGAGCTTGCCATGCATTAAAATAACCTTGGATTTTAGTCACGATTGCACTTTCTGGAAAAAAGAAGAAGAAGGGAAGAACTGAGCGATTGTGCAAAATGTGAGCCAAGGAAGGGTTCTCTGAGCACAGAACATACCCTGTAGCTTCTTCTACCACCCCGGGGTTCTGCCTTGCCAAGTTTCCACTTTTAGTGCGTGTTTTAGCCATGTGAATGCAACCAGATGAATTGAACACTTGTAAGTTCTGCTTGGCTCCGACATCAGCCTAATTAACCAGAGAGCTGCCAGTTTTCAGCTTTGTGTTTGAGACACAGTCTGTTGTTGTTAGGTGCCACCAAGTCGGCTCCCACGCCGAAGAGCCTACGTACAATAGAATGAAGTGCCACCCAGTGCAGGGCTCGCCTCACAGTTGTTACTGTGTTTGAGCTGATTGATAGCTGCAGCCAGTGAGTCTCCTTTTCCTTTGACTTTACCGAGCACGAGGTACTTCTCCAGGGACATGTCCAAGACTGGGAAACGAAGTCTTGCCATTCCTGCTTCGAAGGATCAGTCTACACGTGCTCCTTTCGAAGGCAGATTTGTCCGTTCTTTTGGCAATCGCGGCATATTTACTATTCTACTCCAACACCATAAACCAAAGGCATCCGTTCTTAACTCTTCCTTATTCCAGCTTCCACGGGCATATTAAGTGATGGAAAACACCGAGGCTTGGATCAAGACCTCCTTAGTTTTCCAGGTGACATCTTGTTTATGTCACTTTTGCAGCAGATGTGGTTTCTTGACTGCTGCTTCCACGGGCGTTGCTTGTGGGTCCAAGGGGAATGAAGTCCTTGACAACGTCAATCTGCTCTCCATTGATCACGGTGTTCCTATGGGTCCAGTGGTAAACATTTGTATTTTCTTACATCGAGTTGTAATCCAGACCGAGGGCTGTCATCTTTGATCTTCATCCGCAAATGCGCCAGGTCCTTTGGCTTTTAGCAGGTGACATTGTGTCATCTGCATATCCCAGGTTGTTAGTGAGAATTCCTCCAACGCTGACCTTATCTTCTTCTTCACATCATCCAGCTCCTCAGGCTATTTGCTCAGCACACAGACTGAATAACTAATGAAAGGATACGACCCCGAAACACCCTGTTTACACTGGTAAGCCATGCAGTATCCCCTTGTTCTGTCTGCACGATTGCCTCGGGTTCTACATGAACACGATGACGTGTTCTGGAACTCCCATGCTTTGCCATGTTATTCACAATGCGTCATGATCCACACAGTTGAATGACTCTTCGTAGTCAATAAAACACAAATGAACATCTTGCTTTCACCAAGTTCCATCTGACATCAGCAATGATATCAGTTCTTCCATATCCTCTTAAATCTAGCTTCTAATTCAACATCTGTTGATGTGCTGCTGCAACTATTTTTACACTGCCTTCAGTAAAATTGTACTTGCGTGTGATATTGTTGAGGATTCCACACTTGCCTGTCAGTTTGTTGTACTGTGGTGGCCTCGTTGTTGCTGTATGATTAGGCATTTTGTCATTGGTATTTTTAAAGACCAGCAGGGTCACCCAAAGTGGACAGGCTTCAGCAGATCTTCCAGACTGAAAACAGACTACAAAGGCAGGGTAGGACGGCCCTTTAGAGGAATTAACCACAGCAAACCTTGTCACCTGCTGAAAACTTCATGGATTTTGTCAGAGATCGTTCCAGAAGATGAGCTCCTCAGGTTGGGAGGCACTCAAAATGTGGCCGAGGAAAAGCTGCCTTTTCAAATTGGGTAGATTGTAATGACTCTGATGGAGTAAGCCTCTGGGAGTAATTCTTTGGGCCCTATCTTCCCTGATCGGGCAGGACTCAAAGTGAGGGGAGGAAAATGCGGCAAACATCTATTAGTAATTGGAACTTGGAATGTACAAAGTATGAATCTAGGAAAGTTGGAAGTTGCCAAAAGTGAAATGGAACATATAAGGATCGATATCCTAGGCACTGGTGAGCTGAAGTAGACTGGGATTGACCATTTTGAATCATGCGGTCATATCGTTTACCGTGCTAGGAATGACAGATGCAAGAGGAATGGCATTGCATTTGATGTCAAAAAGGACATTTCAAAATCTATCTTGAAGTACAATGCTGTCTGTGATAGGATAATATCTATCCTCACACAAGGAAATCCAGTCAATACAACTATTATTCATATCTATGCACCAACCACTAAAGCTAGTGATGCAGAAATCAAAGAATTGTACTCTTCAGTCTGAAATTGATCAAACATGCAATCAAGGTGCATTGATAATTACTGGTGATCAGAGTGCAAAAGTTGGAAACAAAGAGGAAGCAAACAGTAGTTGGAAACTATGGCTTAAAGATGCGGATTGCATGATAGAATTTTGCAAGATCAATGACTTCATCAGAAATAGCTTTTTTCAATAGCACCAATGACAATGATATATGTGTACTTCTTCAGAAGGAAAATTGCCTCCTATGCATGTGAAACTTGTATATTGACTAAGGAAGACAGAAGAAGAATAGATACATCTGAATTATTGTGCTGGTGAAGAATATTTAAAGTATCATATACGGTCAGAAGAACAAAAAAATCTGTCTTGCAAAGAGTACAGTCAGAATGCTCCTTGGGAGAAAGATGGTAAGCCTTTGTCTGGCATCCTTTGGGCACGTTATCGGGAGAGAAAGGACATCATGCTTGGTAAAGTAGAGGGGCAGTGAAAAAAGAGGAAGACCCTGGACAAGATGGAATGGTAGTGTGGCTGCAATGATGGGCTTCAACATAGCAACCGTGTTAAGGATGGCACAGCATCAGACTGTATTTCGTTCCAGTGTTCATGAGGTCGCTGTAAGTAGGAACTCGCTCAATGGCACCTAATAACAGCATCGATGTCTGAATTCTGTTGGATTGCTTTTCTTTGGGGGGAGGGGGCACACATATGGATCTCTTCTAGGTGGTTGGCCAGGCGGCAGCTGTTTCCAAATTTTCTGGTACAGAAAAGTGAGCACTTCCAGAGTTGCAGCCATTGTTGAAAACAACTCAATTGGTATTCTATCAGTTCCTGGACCTTGGCCTTCTTGCCAATGCTTTCAAAAGCTTGGACTTCTTTTTTTAGTACCATCATAATCTCACATATCCACCTTTGGCAGAGCCTCCAGCTCCCATCTATTCCTCTGGACAATGGGAGCTTAGAAGGGGACTAATAATTATGTCTGTTACAGCCTCAACTCTAGAACCTGGGCTGGGCAAAGAGCCATGCCACTCTGCTGTTGGGTAGCCAAGAGCCAAATTTTAACTTCAATTGGTGTTGGCTAAGCAGAATCATTAAGTAGACAATCTACTCGGATCACACAACTAATTAATAGCTTTCAGTTGTATTCTCTTCTCATGGAGCTTTAATTATATATTCTTTTCACAGCACCTTTCTCATAGGGTTCACACTTCTTTCCAGCCCAGCGTATAGAACTCTTTATATCTCTAATGCATTGTCCTGGGCCTCCCGCGCAGTCTGCTCGTAGCGAATGTTCTCTAATGAAATTGAGTCCAAGGAGAAAGAAAACCTCTGCCTTTTCCTCAAATTATACCAGATCAATACACAAAAGGGAAATGGGGCAGACAGGGATTCTCAGCAGCTCCATACTAGCCACAGGGCTCAGTGCTCCACAAAAGAGTTTTCATTTACTCTTTACAGTCTTGCCAGGGCAGTTTCCTCACCCTGCTGATGAAGACGTTGCAATTCAGAGAAATGAAGAAAAGGTTCATTTGCCCAACACCAGAAGAGTCCTGGAGGCCCCGTGGTTAAGTGCTCCACTGCCAACTGAAAGGTCAGTGGTTCAAACCCACCAGCCACTGCTCTACTGGAGAAAGATGTGGCAATCTGTTTCGGAAAGATGACCGCTTTGGAAAGCCCATGCGGGCAGTTCTGCTGTGTTCTATGAGATCGCTTTGAGTTGTAATTGATTCTGTGGCAGTAGTGTTGTACAGGACTCTATAACTCAAGAGGCTAGCCGACCTTCGGGCTGTAACCTGGTCCTCTGACCTAAGCCAGCATCCAAATTCTTTCCTGTTTTTGGCACTTGTCCTTTCATGCAAATTGAGAGCTCACAAGTTCCCAGTGAGCAGGAAAGCAAGAACAACTTTGTCCGAGAGTTAGCCCGGTTCTGTCTTTTCACTGTCTTTTCACCACAGAGTCTAGGACAGTGCCTAGCATAAAGTAGGCAATGACTAGATATTTGTGGAATGAATGTATGAAGCGATGAACGCTGCTAAAAATTAACTCAGAAATCATTACGATGGACATGATTGTGTCAGTGGCAGATGGGAAGGAATCCAAGTGATAGATGTTTATTTGTGCTTGTGAAGAAGTTGTGTGCACACGTTTTAGTATTATTTTCCCTGTGGCATAGTGCAAAAGGTAGCTCTTTGAGTGGGATATCTTATATGCAATTGCTACAGCTATTAAATGGGAAGTCCTATGAAAAGGACTTTTATATTACATATCATATAGCAGACCCACTACCATTGAGTTGATTCTGACTTGCAGAGACCCTGTAGGATGGGAGAATTTCTCCACAGGGTTTCCAAGGGTGTAGATCTTCACAGAAACAGACTGCTTCATCCCTCTGTTTCCCTTTGTATGGCTGGTAGATTCAAACTAACAACCTTTAGGTTCACAGCCAAGAACCTGAGCCACTGGGGCACCTGTTGACTTGATTCTCACTCAGCAACCCTTTAAGATAGAGTGGAACTGTCCCGCAGTATTATTTCCAAGGCTGGAGATCTTTACAGAAACAGACGGCCGCACCTTTTTTCCCCAAGGAGCTGCTGGTGGGTTTGAACGGCTGACCTTTTGGTTAGCAATTGAGCTCTTGAACCACTTCATCCGAGATGCGACACTCAACGGTCGCTCTCATCGCTGTTTCCATCAGCAGCCAGAGCACGGTCGCCTCACTGTGATCATCATCTAGATAGAGTAAAGCTTTCATACGTGGCAGCCTTATGGAAGGAATGCGCATAGGTGTATGGAACACGTACACTTTATACCCCCAGGAAAGGTCGGAAATGGTTACGTCTAAAAGTTCCAAAAGTATCCAAAAGTTCATGGAAAAACCCCATGATCTTTCAGTTCCCCCTTTCCTCCAACTTTGTCAAGGTCCTTCTGATATCAGTTTGATTTGGTGGTAGGATACACTTAGGACCAAACACACTGATCGCATTGGTTACGTTTCTGGGAGAAAACACTTTGCTAGAGAAATCGGGGGAGAGAACAATAGGAATGCAAAAATAGGCAGTTACGTTCGGAAATCTACAGCTTCTGAGTCATGAACACCATAGAGGTTCAAGTTCAAAAACAAATCATTGAAAACCTCACAACTACTTTGGAAAACAGAAGTTCGACAAGGCCAGTGTGTACACAGGGTTGGTTTGAATCTACTAGGCCCCCTTGCCCACCGGCCCTCGCCTCCCCCCTCCCCCTTAGATAAAGGGCAGGAAGTCAAGCCAGGGAATCAAAGTTTCAGTACCGTCCAGGGGGATCCCCAAGAAGAGCATATTGGAGGTGTCCAGCATGATGCGCCGCATGAGGGTCAGCACGTCCACGTAGCCGGAGGCGTTGGTGACCTCCTCCAGCCGGTCCAGGTGGGCTTTGATGGATTCAACACAAATCGCCACCATCCGCACAAGGCCAGGACCAGACAGAGCTGAGGGGTACATAGTACAGACAGTGAGCTGCCACCAACTTCCCCACCATCAGGATTTTGTTAGCTTTCTGTGTTTGGAGAGGTGGTAGTTACATAATCTGTTGTCAATTGGAGACTGAAGAGTGGAGGGGTGGAGTTTAGCCTGTCAATCAGGTCACAGCTTGATGACCTCATTTGGAGGGGCTAAGGAGATAAATAGCTCGCTAGAGGCGGGACACACGCTCACTCCCTGCAAGACATTCCTGTGGAGAAGACACATGGAGCTACGCTAGAGCCCTGGAGCTGAAGGAGCCAGGTGGAGACCCCTGCCAGGGCTGAGAGTCTTCCACCGCCACTGGATCCACAAGACTTCCCACCCGCTGCCTTGTGAACCTTTCAACATCATTGGCTGTGCTGTGTGAGTCTGAAAGAAGAATTTACAGACTGGTAACGGACCTATGGGCTCATACTGGACTTATGGACTTGATCTGGAGATGGACTCTCCACAGTTTTTCACTCAATAACCGGGTGGGAGCTCCTCTCGTGCTGCCAAGCAGCATCGTGGACAGCCTGCTTGAAGTAAAAGCACAAGAGGCTTACTGAGGGCGTGAGACAGCCCACGGCCGCCTCACCAGACGACGCGGACGCAAATATTTCTCTACAGTTGGAGCAGGAACTAAAAGTTACGAAGTCATGGTTGATTTTAGACAACCGGGCTGAGTCCTCCAGCAGGGAGATGGGCACACAGGCGTCGGTGGATAACACCGAAGAGCCGCAGTGCCTCACATACAACAGGTTGTGTCTGCACTCTGCAGTGTGTTACAGGATTGTGCGGGGACAGTGGCAGGACAGGTTTTCCTGGTGACCTCCTATAAAAATAGACTTTAGGGGGGGGCGGGGATTTTATTTAAAAGTATGAGCTGCCGTCTAGAAGGTGAATCTAAGAAGTCTCAGAGTATTTTTTGACTCGTTTAATTTCCCAAGTACAGCTGGCCCTTGGCGGGCATGGGGGCTAGGGCTGCTGACTGCCCCTCAGCAGAAAACACCTACACCTGGGACCATCCCTTCCTACTTACCTACTAATTCCGCTGTTGACCAGAAGCCTGACTGATCACATGACCGTCAACTACCATATATTCTTTACGCTTGATGGATTATAGACCACGCCCGCGCAAAAACGGCATGTTCAATATGAGATCAAAAAGGTTATTTCCCACCCCCACCCCCAAATGCTAGAATTTTCATGTCTGCTGGCATTGCTGCAGTTTCTCTCTTTAAAAAACAAACAAACATCTTTACACGGGATTTATTTACCCTGAAATGGAAGCAGGTAACCACAGCCGCAGACCGTGATCTAAGGTACGTGCCAAGCAACTCAACTTGTTCTCATACTGCGAGGACTTCGCTCAGAGCCCTGGTGATATAGTGGTGATGAGTTGGGCCAGAGCTGCATGGTCGGCAGCTCAAAACCACCAGCGGCTCTGCGGGAGAAAGGCTGGACTTTCTACTGCTGTAAACAGTTACAGTCTCAGAAACCCACGGGGGGTCGCCATGAGTCAGCACTGACTCCATGGCAGCGAGTTTGGTCTTGGTTTTGGAGACGTCTCTGTTTCTTGGGAGCACTTCCGGTATCACCGGCGGTACTTCCTATGGCTCCCCTGGTGTGCTACTCAAGACTTATGGTGCAACACTGATACGTTAACTTGATGAATGACACACCGACCCGCAAGAGATCACTTTTTAGTGAGATACGCAATATGCTGAAGGGATAGAGCTGCTCAGCCAAAGACGGTGAACATCACATGATGTGTGGGTGTGCTTTTTTTTAATCAGTGTACAAGTTATTTCATGAACTTCAAGCCCATGTGATCCAAAGGTCAACCGTACTGGGAGATTTGGAATTCCTGCGTCAGCTCCAGCGTAGGCCATGCATCACGGCAGTGGCTCTTAGCTGTTCTTATTGCTTATGGGCCTACTCCCTTCCAATTAATTCGTCAGTCACTCTGCTGCCAAGTGGATTGTTCTGTAAGGCACAGGTGTTCCATGCCAAACATCAGGGATTCCTCAGAGCTGTTGAGCTAAGTTCAGCTCCCTAGCTTAGCACAGGGGTCTGGCGGTCTGGCCTGGTCTCTGCCCCCAGCCTTACTTCTTCTGCCTGTGTCCGTGCCTGGTTCAAGGACCTGCTGTTCCCTGGAAACATCCTGGGAATCTGTCCTCTCCGTCTTTGAATATCCTGTTCTTTCCTCCTGGAAAATCACACTTTCTTAAATAGCTTTTACCCTCTTTCAAAAGTCACCTTAAAGTGCATTATTAGGAAACTGATTACCTCCACCCTTCTGACCAGCCCAGGGAAGGGCAGTCTTCCCTGGGGGCTTGCCTGGGTGTGACCTTGATGAAGGTCACCATATTGGGTGTTGCATAATCATGAGTCATGGCCCCCACTGCCTTGCGGGCGCTCCTGGACCGGTCTTGTAAGATCCTCTGTCTACCACAATGAAGTGTCCCAATCGGGGCCCGCTTCTTGCTCTGGCGATCCCACCTGTAACTAGGATGTGTTGATCTGATGCCAACCATGCATTTGGGACCCTTTTCCTTGACCGCCCATGTCCCTTTTAAAGCTCGGTGCATCAGAAAACTGGGGCCACCAGGAAGACCTCATGCTAATGTTCTCCCTTATCTGGATAAGATATTTTTGTCCCTGTCCCATTGAAGACCTGACGCTGCGGTGGTTAAAGGAGTAGGTGTGGGTGCTGTGTCCTTGGGGGTGGGGAGGTACTCTTCACTCATGTTGGGACCTTGGATAAATACTTAGTTCTTTTAGACCTTGTTTTGGTGATCTGTGAAATGCAGGCCACAGGAGGATTTGCTGCATGAGGTTGCCATGCGTTTAAAATACCAAGGGCTGAGGATGGCCCACCGGCAGAGTGCCTGCACACTGAATGGTCTTCTTGTTAGGGTTTCAGAATTGTGAAGCAGTGGAATGAACATAATTAAAAAAAAAAATTTAAGCACACTCATAGGCAAGAGCACAGAATGGGACCCGGCCCCAGCTTACCTTTCATGAAGAAAGGCCGAATCACTTTCCAGAGTGCTGGGTTATTGTTAAATATGATGCCGTTTTCATGCATGCCCACGCACTGCAGCCCCAGTTTGCTACCAAATCGGGAGATGTAGTGACTGTGCTTCATGACGTGGAGCATACTGGAGGACCTGAAAAGACAGTAAACCGGGGCGTTAGTGTGGATTTGTTTCTCTTGGACATTTTACTGTGGGTCCGGGGAAAGTTCCCAGAACAAAGTCGTTCCTCGTTCAAGAACTTATCTGCATTTTGTTTCCTAACATTGGTAGCCATCCCTCCCTTAAGGTGACAGGAGGAGCCCTAATGTAGCGTGGTGGTTCTGTTGTTGGGCAGCGATCCGCAGGTCAGCAGTTCGAAGCCACCAGCCGCTCCGTGGTAGGAAAGATGGGACTTTCTACTCCTGTAACCAATTACAGTCTCAGAAACTCACGGGGGCAGTTTTACCCTGTCCTATAGGGTCGCTCTGAGTTGGCATCCACTCGGCAGCCATGAGAGAGAATGTGACAGTATTTTTCCCACTTCCTCTCTGGGCTCCCTGTTTCTATCCATCCTTCTTTTCTGTCTCCTCCCCTCTCTAAGCTTTGCTTCGGGGCACATGCTGCCCTTGTGGTCTCTCAGATGGTTGATTGTTCTCATGGGCACATTTCTCCTTGCGTTGCTGTTCACTTTCAAAAGGTGATCGCTGGGAGTGGGCTCAGCTCCAAGCTTGAAGGGTGTCTAAGGGCCTTTGTCACAGGGGTTCTGCCAGTCTTTACCAGAGCAGTAAGTCTGGTCTTTTCTATGATTTGATTCCAAATTTTCCTCCTACTCTGTCCAGAACCATCTCTTGCGATCTCGATCGGAGCCGCTCCTTGTGGCTGCGGAGCACCGTTTGGTACCTCTGGGCTCAGGCGAGTGGCGGCTGAGGTTCACACAGTCCATGAGTGTTGGAGCCTGCTTTTCCTCAGCCTTCTTTGCTCCGGATGGGGAGAGACCAATCGGTGTATCTTAGATGGCTCCTCCCAAGCTTTCCTCACCAAGGTAAGGGGTAGAACATTATCTATGTGGACTATGTTATGCCAATTGACCAAGATGCCCCCCAAGGCTGTGGCATTAGTTTTTAACCCTGTAACGCCTGAATTTTTTTTTTTTGCTTTTATTCTTTACTTTCATAGTTATCAATATATATATATATATATATTATATAGGAAAATTTTTTTGCTTTTATTCTTTACTTTCATAGTTATCAATATATATATATATATATTAATATATACATTTTAATCAAATGTTCTGAAAACATCGCACTTGGCGTTAGAGGGTTAACGGCCAAGGGAATTCATGGTGATGCTTTGTAACTCCTAGGCATCTCTCTTGCACAGTGCATGTCGATCCAAATGCACGAGTTCTAGAATGCAGGTTGAATGAACACTTGTTAGCCTGGGGACATCCTTCGCCAACTGAAACATTCCTGCCTACTGATTCCCTAGTGAGCATCGTCAAAGACAGACAGACGCGTACGTCCAGTTGGGTATCACTCGGGGCTTGAGGGATGCCTGTTTTCTTGGGCAGGTCTAGTCACCTGGTCCTGGAGCTGACTGGCTGGCCTGGGTCTCTGCGTTCCATGCAGGACTCACCAAGGTTTCCAGGACCACAGGGCTCTCCCTGTCTCAGGGCGTGATGAGCCATTAGACAATCCTTGCTGGGGCAATACTGGGGCCTTGCCCAGGACCCAGGCTCCCGTGAACTTCCCAGCTCTTTAACCACTGTTTTTCCTTCGGGGCCAGTTGCTTTAAGTGTCCAGGAAGAGCCCCGGGGGCTGAGCAGGAAGAGGCAGTTCCTTCTGCTTCTCCGCTCCCCACTTGCTTCGTCCTCCAGGGCTGTTTCCGGCCCCCCAACCCCATTTTAGTCTAATCTGGAAGGTGGAGAAGCACTGAGGCTTAGAAAACTTGATGAAATGCTATCTGCAGAAGTCAGAGTGGCCTGACCAGAGCTGTCATCATCACCAAATTACAATGACACTTGGAATCACACAGTTCCTTCTGCACCTTCAACAAACACTCGCTGCCGTTTTCTTTGCTGCCAATGTCTACATCGTTGCCGATCTCGTCAAATTTTCTGGTGGTATTGTGGGAATTAGTATTTGTGAATCTGTACTAGTAATTTCTTTTGAGGACGCAGTAGTATTTTTTTTATTTGATGCAGTAGTATTTAAAGGAGAAAAAAAAGTTTTAAAGGCTTCCCCGCCATTGTGAATAATATTGTAACTGATGATGCTCTAATTCCGTGTAGAAAGGGTTTACAGAACAATTTTGTTGCTAGCATTCAGAAAATCTAAGAAATGCTGCGTTTGTACAATTACAGCAATGATTAAGATGGATAATAAGCATTAATACGCTCTGGTCTGGTATGAGGGGGGCATGACGGGGCATGGCACCGTAAGTTAATGCGCCGAATGACACCAATCATAGATGCCACTGGCTTGCATGTGTGAAGAGCCTCTCTTGTGCTCAGGACTGCGGCAATGTAGGTTTCCACGCAGGGAGGGAGACTCGGTTTGTTGAGAGATGTTTTGTTAACCCTCACCCCTGAACCAAGAGTACTCAATGAATGGTGATAAGATTCCCACAGAATACCTGGGACCAATGAGCCTTGCTCTGACTCAGTGGGCTAGGCTGTGGGCTGCGGATTGGCCAAACCCCTCATAGTCAAAAGGTAGTCCATAGTCCTAACGCAAACTTTAAAAGCAAGCCCCTGAAATAATTCATTGGCAGTGCCAATAAGTTAAAAACAGAAGTATTATGCGTATATAAATCAATCACATACATAGTATTTGTTTCAGCCAAATTTCATATGTTCAAGTCAAAAAGCTATCTATTAACTTCAATATTCTCTTGAGTGGAATCCAGAAAATATTCATAAAATGACTGAGAATTTTAGACAGATTGTCCTTTTTTCTAGAAGCAGAAAATAACAATTTCGAGGCCTTGATTCATATGCAAAGGAATTCATTTGACTGAGGGACAGCTAACTATCTTGCCCTGTAGAGAAAAATCATGCTGTAGGACAGGCTGACCTTCTGATGAGTAAATAGAGGTGAAACCCATAGATTTCCTGACATGTCTCACTTCACTCTATTATTAAATCCGGAATGAAGTGATTTCTATGAGGTTAGTCCACAAATTCATTATCTAAAAGTTTAAGTGCTTGAAGGACAATCAGAACTTTTTTTTTTTGCTTTGATCTCTGGAAATGTTGTCGGCTGCATTCATCATATTGATCTGCGCATTTCTTTTGGAAAATTGCTAAATATTTAATTAAAAAAAGAAAAGAAGAACAAAAGAAAAATGCCAAATGAAATTCCAAAGAAACAGATAAACGACAACCAAGGAGTCCTTGGGTGGTACAAATAGTTGAGCATTGGACACACACACACACACACACACACACACACGTGTCTCTGAAGACAGGCTTGGAATTCTGCTTTCAAAAGATCACAACCTTGAAAGCCCTGTAGAGCAATTATATCCTATACCCCTGGGATGACATTGAATAGGAATGACTTGATAGCAACTTCCAATAAGCGTTCCTTAATCAAGAGAGAGCTTTAAAAATCAGAGTCCATTAGGGGGCGCCAGCACGTCATTCTTTCGAATCAGAGGCTCACAGCCCAGACAAAGGCGCCAAAGCACAATGGGTAACACACACTGATAAGCAAACAGGCAAGCGCCACTGAAGACCAATTTAAAGCAAGGTGCTTAATCAAAACTAGGTCGGATTTCTCACCCCAGGGAGGAAGACAAGAGAGCGCTCACTCCTGCTGTGTGGACAGGCCTGTAACCGCTGGGTGAGGGGGGTTTCTCTCCAAGGGGAGGGGGAGGCACACAAGGGAGTCCCCAAGCCCAGAGCTGAGGCAGAAGGGAACCCAAGTTCTTTGCCATTGCATTACAATGCATGAAGAGCATTGGGGTCGTGACCAAAGTAGAAAAACAGAACAACTCCAAAGATGGTAAAGAGATTTCCTACTGGAAATAAAAAGTAGCCTACTAGGGAATCTCAGGTGATAGGGAGAAAGGATTTCTCTAATTTTGAGTTTAAACAACTCCAACCCCTGTGGCCAGGTACAAGGGCGACATGTGCTGGAAACCAAGGGAAGGCAATGGTGTAGACTTGTTCTTGGCCTGAGATTTATACTCACTGAATTCAGTCACCTTCTTAAAGGATCCTTTGCCCCTCAAATATCCACATTTCCCTAGCTTAAATTCTAGCGTCATTGCAAGAGAAAACAAAATCTTCATGAGACCGCTGACTATAATCTCTCTAACCAATGAAGGAAAACCTTGGCATGCTGCAATATTTAGTGCCTAGAATCACCAGTGGGGTGGGCCTGGGGTCAGGGGGATGACCCTCACGGCCGTGGAGTTGATTCATATGTCATACATATTTTAAGAGAGAGAGAAAGAAAATCACTGTCGCCGAATTGGTCCTGGCTCATGGTGACCCTATAGAACAGGGTAGAACTGTCCCTGAGGGTTTCTGAGGGTGCAATTCTTCACCGGAGTAAAAAGCCTCATCTTTCTCCCACACAGTGGTGGGAGCCATTCTACTCCCGTAAAGTCTCAGAAACCCACAGGGGCAATGCTGCCCCATCCAACAGGCTCACCGTGGGGTGAATTGACTTGACAGCAGTGAGAAGCACCAGTGAATGAAATATGAGTACAAGAAAGTTAACCTGAATCAAATCCAGGTTTCAGGTCTAATACTGAGTTGATAAGCAATAGAAGGAATATAGTAATTGGTTAAATGGCGCCAAAATGAAACCGAAGAATTCAGAATATGGGACTGCTTAGAAGACAGTTGAATTATAAGACAGTTGGTCATGGAATGAAGAAGACAGAAGACGGGTCCGTGCATTTGAACTGTGGTACTCGCAAAGAATATTGAAAGTACTATGGACTGTCCAAGGGTCAAACAAATCCGTCATGGAAGAAGTACAGCCAGAATGCTCCTTAGAGGCAAGAACGGGGAGCCTTCGTCTCACATGCTGTGGACATGTTGTCAGGAGAGACCGGTCCCTGGAGAAGGACCTCATGCTTGGGAAAGGGGAGGGGCCATGGAAACGAGGAAGCCCCTCAACGAGATGGACTGACAC